ATTCGAAATGTTGTCACTCAAGATTCAAATCATATATTCTGAAGATGTGTCTGACAGCCTAACACAGGCAGTCAATGAAGCTTTCAGGTGGTTATACAGGCTGGTGGTGAAGATGTCCTCTCCAGCACCACCACACAACGAACCACTACCAGCAGCTGTCACCCATCACCTTCAGTTAGTGGGTCCAGTACAAAACCCCTGGGTCTTTTCCCTCATCCACGTCCTATGACTGGCAGACCAAGCAGTAGAAATGTTTAACGGTTCACTGAAAGAATTAAGAAAACTGTAATTTAAAATAATTGCTAAAATAAATAAAAATTATAATAATAGGGCTGAATGGATAAGGGGATGGTGACGAGCCTCCAGTACTTGGCGGGGACAATGCATGTCCACACTGCCACGTTTCCGCACTGCCAAGTTTGTAATGCTACGTTTCATTGAAAAACCACCATCATGGCTCAGGGGCAGTGCTGGCCCCTGTCTCTCCAATGCCACTAAAAGGTACTCCCTATACCAGAAGTTTGGTCACTCCTTGTGAGGCTCAAAATATGGAAGGAGCCTCAGTATGTGGCACTGAAGCAAGCCTTCACCTCCAGTGATGATGACAAGAGGGAGGTAATGCCCGTTTGCATTGTTACTGTGAGTCATATAATAATATAAGTCTGACTAATAACTGATTATGTGTAATAGGAACTGAGAAGGTGCTACCCTAATCCACCAGGCATCCTGTACCCAGACTTCCAGCCATCCTAATAATGAAAAAATTAATTGTTAGTATGATTGTAAATTTAGCTTTTTCCATTATACATGTAATTCCTTTTCTTAAATACGTCCAAGCCTGTATAACTTGTGGGCTCACAACAATCACCTACGTATCATAAGGGACATACATACAATCAAAAATCTTACCTCAACACTTCAAAATTTACAAAATGTAGCAAGAAACAATGACATCAATAACAGTTGCAAGTATACTTCAATGGCCTTCCTGTTCATCATCTAACTCATCTACCCATCGCCATTCAGAAAAATGTCTTCATCATCATCATCAAGAACCTTACAAATTGACACTTCATCAACTGTTTCATTAGGCCTACAGTTGATTCATTATTACACTAAATGATGAGTAAAATTTACTTAAATTACCTTATGTCTACTTGATTTTTCTGCAAATATACCTTCCACACATTATGAGCAAAGTCTTCTCAACTAACGTCTTGAATAGTGTATGCCCATCTGGTCTTCCAATGTCAAAGATATGTCGCTCAATTGTATGTGGTCTTTTGACATTTTTGTTACACGAATGTCACTTTTAGAACAGTATTAGTATATACCAGTCTTACCCAGTCCATAACTGCTATATTGATTGTCATTCTGAAGGTTGTAGTACCAAAATGAATCCTTTTAGGGAGATAAGTGAGTAGATGATGCTTGAAAGACTCCACCCAAAATGTATCCAGCCACTGTAAAACATTATAAGTAATGTAGTCTAAAGGCACTTACCAAACAGTAAGTATGATTCAGCATTTACATATATCAAGGTTTGCTTTAACTTCATAGTGTATGCTTCGACTGCATTGTGGTCAATTATTAGCTTCTTTGATGGTGCATACCCAGGATGTCTACAGCTGGAGGACTGATTAACAGTTGGAGTGATTACCATATCACATACATTCATATATGAACATACTAGTACTAAAAATATCTACCTTGATAATGATCAACAATATTTGGTACTGAGTGTTGCAGATTCTCTGGAGACTTACTACAGTTATTCATACTGTAGTACAGATGTGTCTTTGTACTCTTTCTTATGATACATGTAATCATATCATTTTCCATTGTCCCTTACTCTTACCTGACAGTTCTGGATACCAAGTTATACCTGCCCTTTTCTTTGCTCTTGTTTCTACAGACGTCATTGCTTTCGCTACATTCTTAGTCCTAACAAGCATATAGAAATAAAAAAGGACAAAAAGCTACTTACCATGCCATGAGTTTTTTTAGCTTTAACTCTTCAACAATATATGATGTTACAGGCGGTGAATTGTCATGAGCTACCTCTGTAACATTCAATCCTATTTTCAGATTTGATTAAACAATTCATTCACTTCTTTCAGTACCTTTTGATATTACTAATAGCAATACTTCCTTAGTACGGGCAAGCTCCCTTGTCTGTGTTCAAGTGTGTTCCTTTCTGGAAAGTGTCACACAGCCTACAATCTGTGGATACTGAAAAATGAATGTACAAAGTGAAGTAAAATACACTACAAATACAAGGACCTTCCAGAAAGACACGGCATTAGCACTTCAGTTATGCCTAGCATCAGTGATGACCCACAACAATGAATTTAACAATTTACTGTTATGAATATACTACTGTACCTCCCATCAGTCTCATATTCAGAGGTTGACTTGATTTCATCAATTACCTTCATCATTGATGCTTCAGCGCAACTTTCAATAGCAGCGACATACCCCTTTGACTTACACTATAGTAAACACACTTACAAAGTACAGTGAAGTACAAAACTAAATTACCTGAATCACTCCAACTATACCAAGCGATGCCAATCTACAGAAATGGTAGCATTGTGATGGGAACATTCCAGCACAAGTAAATGCATGTGTGAGCCTAAAGTAATGTTAATGCCATTACTTTGCATTACACTCTATACTTCTGATTAATTAGGTATCTACTGCCTAAGAGACTTGAGCTGGCCCATCATTCCTTTCGATTGCATGACTGACATTGAATTTCAGCACAAATCACGTGACCAAACTATAAAAATAATAATAAAAAAATTATGAAATAATACTACTCTAAGATACCTGTCTGTAACTGAATATCTTTTGGTCGATCATGCATCACATACACCAACGTGTCAGTCTCAAAACCAAGTCCTTAAAAGCAGATCCCTGACACACAAACAATGGCTGTTCTTCATCCCTATCACCAGTGTAATTACCTTATTGAATATCATCACTTATTTAAACACAATAATTATAACTACCTGAGGTATTGAGCATAGGAGAAGAAATACTTGTGTCATGTGACTGAACATCAGAGTCCTCCTTGTCAGCTAGATTGAGCAATTGAGACAGAAATTCCATGTTGTCAACAGGCTGTCTCCTCTTAGTAGCTAAACACCCCTTAACTCAATCAAGCCTAGCTATAAAATGATCCTTGTCTTCATTTTGACAAAAGTTCAACTTCATTTGGAACCAAAAATCCTCTCTTCTAGCAAGTTTCTTCATAGGACCAACACCATCTGGATCAGACATTTTTTTACACGTGTAAAAACGGAAACCACAATGCCCAGGGCACTGCCTTTTATACCACACCTTCTTGATTAATCTATATTATTACATTAAATGAAGAAACAAAATATAGAGAACTTAAACAATTTTTCAGAATCCATCCTCAAATGAAAAGAAGTGATCAGTCACTTCTAGTATTTAATACCATACTATGAAACTAAGAAAAGAAAAATACTGACCTTTAAGTACTTATCTTCACCAAATTTAGGCAAGTTCAGCCTCAGCAACCGGGCTTTAGTACTAGGCATGCGCGATTAAATCAATTGTTCAATTAATTGGGAAAAGACTTACAACTGATTGATTGCACCATGCCATAATCAATTAATTACAATTGACCACATCTATAGATCTAGACCACTCCTTTGAGCATATGATCTTATGTCTAAACAGTGAATGATGGCAACAACCGAGTCTGCTCCTGTCAATTACCTTGAAGAGGCCAATCTAAAGCATGCTACTAGTTCTGTCTGGAAGTACTTTGGCTTTATGCATGAAGAAGGTATTATAAAAGATCATAGTCACATAAGTTGTTGCCACCTGGCCAGCAAATCATTCACTTACAATGCCTAAATAGGTTGTTTGTGCTGTCACTGGTTGTCAATCTGTTCTTAATTGTTGTGGAAATACAACAAATCTGGATTTTCATCTAAAATCTCAATACTTACCCGTTTTTTAAGAGTCATTAGCAGTCAAGACAAGGTCTGTACCCTCCCTCCGTAGAACTAGTAGAAATCACGGATCAAGATAGTTGCTAGTAGGCCCAGTACAGCTGCACAACTGACTATCAAGAAAGCCTTCAACATGATTACTAAGCTTCCTTATTCTTCAAAATGAGCTAAATCTATAACTGAATCTATTGCTTACTTAATTGCTAAATATATGCTGCCTATTTTAGTTGTACAAGGACAAAGGTTTTTGCATATAGCTGCATGCTTTGAACCACGCTACCCGGTTCCACACAGGAAAACGTTTATGGATCATGAATTACCTCAACTTTATGAAAAAGCAAAAACTGAGGTAGTGGCTATTACTCACACTTGTGACTCGTTTGCACTTACCACTAACTGCTGGTCTAGTCGTGCTAATCAGTCACATATAGGAGTTACACTTCATACAATAATGAATGATTGGCAGCTGTAGAGTGTATCTCTTGAAAATCATGAGTTATCTGAGTCGCACACATCTGAAAACCTGGCAGCAGCTTTCAAGGATATACTTGCTAAGTGGAACTTTGATGAGTCTAAGTTCAGCTGTACTACAATTGATAACACAGCCAAAATTCAAAAAGCTGTTGTTGACTTACTAAAATGGAATAGGTTGGGATGTTTTGGACACACGATAAACCTTTGTGTGAAAGCTTGACTCAAGCAGCGTAAAGTCCAAACAGCAATATCTCATTCCAGACTTGTAACATATGTCTGTAAGTCACCTCATGCAACTCTATTGTTACAAAGAAGCAAGATCTTAACATGAAGAAGCACAAACTAATTCAGGACATTCATACAAGATGAAACTCTACATTTGATATGATTAGTCGATCATTGAGCAGCAAGGTTCTATCAGTGCTGCTTTATTAGAACAAAAAAAGATGGATTTGTTACCAAAGGATAATGAACTGACATTCTGGAAGAGTTAGTAGTTATTTTGAAGCCATTTATTTTGTCACAGAACAGATGTCGGCTCAGAGGTATGTCACTATCAGCTATTAGACCTCTTCTCCACCATTTATACAATGTTCTGAAGTCTGATACTAAATCTGAATCATCTGCTCTTCAATTTATGAAGAAAGAAATGACTTTACATCTCAAGTCTCAATACCAATCATTTAGAGTGTCTCAGTTGCTTGATGTTAGTATGTTCTGTTGACCCACGATTCAAATCGATGTCATTTTTAAATAAAGAGGTCAGAAATCTGCCTGAGCATGTAATGGATAAGTTGTTGCTGTATGTTGATTACAAGCAGATAAAGCAGATGAGGAAGGGGAAGAGCCACAAACAAAGAAACCTAGAACTGGATTGGGAAAGCTATTATGCAACATGTACTCTGAACATTTAATAGAAAAACCTACATCAAGTCAAAGCCAAATAGAGCTTGAGATTATGTACACCAGCAGCAAGTACGCCATCAGAAATGCTATTCTCTACAGCTGGAGATATGTGCTGAAAGAGCTCGTTTACATCCAGACAATGTGGCTATGTTGTTTTCTAGCCGATAACTGGCAATGATCATTTTACTTTCATTTAAAAATTTTTTTTGATATTGACCAATTAATTGAACAATTGTGATTGCACAACAGCCATAATAGTAACAATCGTTAATTTTGACATTATCACTGATCGCACATCCCTATTGAGTACTATAGCTCGTACTACTGGCAGGTTCCTCCTTAGACGCAGGTACAGTAGAACTAAGGAAGCAAAGGATACTATAGCCAATCTTGCCTTAACTGCTGCCAATTATTCTGAAGCAATTGCTTTACTAGTCTCGATTTGGCAACAAGGAGCGTATCATGTCCAAGCACATGGAGCATTGGAATCTGTCTTCGCAAGGTACTACCATGGCCTTCAGAGGCTTATAAAACAAAGGTAAAACTCATTTGCGACCCATTAAAGCTTTGGGTGTTTCATCTGAGACATGTAATAGCTTCCTTCGGTATTGATGAGAAAACTGCCCTCAGACATAGATATTAGAGTTACAGGGATAGGAAACTTATGTTCGCGGGAAATCAAGCTACCTTCCCCATACCGTACATAATACAATTAGTTTTTTAAAAAAATAAATTAATTAATTAATAATGAATGGTAGTGTCTTTATGCATGGAGAACTGTGAGCCTAGTTTTGAGCTTAGTCTTGTCCTGAGGCCTTTGGATTTTTTAAGTTTTTGGCATTCTTTTTTGGAAATTTCAGTCATTCTTTTGGCAAATGCATGAAACCTGATCTTTGTGTACTATGGAACAATCTCCTTCAATAGTTTCTGGCGCCCACTTTCCAGATTCTGTATCGTAATTGTTGTCTGTACTACTTCTTGATCATCACTTGGATCTTCATTTTCCATCAAAACTCTCCAAGCATCTACTACTGGTGGTTTACAAGAAATGACTAGAGCTGCCTGCTCTGGTTGACCTAGATGTTGTGTGTCTGGTGTAAGTGAGCACTTTAGTTCTAGTTCAACTGCTCTCAAAAAGGAGTAGAAATTGCTAGTGCAATTGATGAGTCCACTGTTGATTGAGTTGACCCATATATGTTTGTCTGCTACATCGTCATTATCGTCACTGTCAGCTGAGCCTTCTAATACATCATGATCTGCATCAACGAAGCAATCTAATACTACTAGGTCATCTGTATCCTCATCTTCATTCTTCCTATGTACCAAAGTGCATTTTTCTCATCAAATGTCAAGTGTGATGTCACAGTTGATCTGTCCTTTGTTTTGTAGTATATTTTTTCCCATGAAGCTATGAAATAATTATATGTTAAGGACAAAACTGACAACTGCTTAACATTAGCTGCAGCATATAACTTCCAAAAGGCATTATAACTCCTGATGAAGTGAATTGCACAAATTGAATTCAGACTTGCTCACGGATCATACTGCTCATCTGTGGAACTGATATCCAAAGGAAGAAGTACTTGAAGTAATTATCATATGATATGAAGATTGTCTTATTGCTGGTCATCCACTCTGAGTTTCACCACTGATTCCTTTGCAGCTTCTGCCTCATCAGATAAAATATCAAATCCAGCATCTTCAATAACATGACAAACAATGCCTAAAATTATTATACATAATATTTAGGAGTTAATAACATTGTGTCATGTGCACCAACATAATAAATTAATCTCATCTTGCATAGTGATACATGTAAATGCACTGGGATCTATGTTTTCTGAATCAGAACCTTGAATAATAATAAGTCATGATTATAATTGTTAATTGATCTTACTGAAAGTTTTGCTTTGTTTTTTTTTAGGCAGTGGCTGAGATGATATAAAAACAGCATTATTTTCACTCCTGTGTCGATCAACGTTTCCTCTGTGAGTATCTATTTTTATTGAGTTAACAACTCTCAATGCATTATTATTTTTGAAGAACTCGTGAGTTGTTTGATTCTCATTAACCCCTCCTCTCCGATGTTGCCTCCTAAAATAATTCTCTAGCGGGTCCTGTGATATTCACTCACTAAGAAGGATGTTACGCCAGGAATTTTAAAGATGAATTCCAATAAGTCAACAAAGGAATAAGCTACAATGCATGCATAATTAAGTAATATATTACCTCTTATATGAATACCTAGCAATGTTTCATTACTTAGTATCAACTTATGTCTTTCAATGCACTTCAAATCTTTTCTTGCATTTACCTCATTTTCCTAGTCATCTAGTCACTTGAGGAATGTTCCTTTAAGCCACTTTATATTATAAATGAAAGTATTATTTTATGTTATTATAACAAACCTCTATTCTGAAGTCATTAGCTTGTCCCTGGAACTCCTTTCTTTTAGTAATGCACTTGGTGTAATTTTTTACATTTAACAAATCAAAAACTTGTCAAACATGTCAACAAAAACAGCTGTCTCTGCTTCATTTGTAAGGTGGACTTTTAATGCTACTGCAACACTTTGACTGAGAACCTACATAAATTAATAAATTTAATGTGCAAAAAATATGATTTACTTCAGCTGCAAGGTCTACCCTCATTTTTGAAAATGGTGTTATGTGTATGTGCTCATATTTTAGTCTTGGCATTGTAGTAACAGGTGCAGCTTTAGTAGCTATTTCATATAATTGCCGAATGTATTTCCAACTGATTGAGTGGCCTCTGAACTGTAGAATTGTTGAGTTAGTAATGTTGAATATACATGTATGCTTACCTCTGTATTCCTACTTGGGTTTGATAGTCAATTTCAAGCCGTCTTAATAAGGTGTGGGGGATCAGAGAACATGTACACTTCTCTTTCATTAAAAGTCAAAGGATTACTGAATTTGTGACACACCGTATTACCTACACCTATTATCTTAATAAACTTTCTATTTACAGAGTTACCATCTAGCATGATGGTAGTGGCTCTCAAACCAACTTTTTCAATTCTCATTGCCTCAAGGAAAATTGGCACCATTTGCTCTCCAGTAAGGCTGGAAGTTGGGAATGAAGCATGAAAGAGCCCTTGTACCATTATAACTATGACTGTTTTTGCAAGTGTTTTTTGTGGTGTCTTCACTTTGGTACTCCTTTTCTAGTAAAAGGAGATGGTTATTTATATCTGCGATATCACTGTAGTCAATTAGATTCCTGGTGCTTTTGTCATACACCAATCCTTTGATGTACATTTCGTCAGCAATTAGCGCAACGTGCTTTTCAAATTCCTTCAAAGAAGTTACTTTTGCATCGCTAAGGAGCTGTTTATCTAATTCACTAGAAAAGCCTGATGACGAATCGATTGCATTGGTATGCTCTCTGTGTTCGTTAGATAAGAGATAAATGCATTTGGTTTTTCTTATTAGATCGTATGCTTTTGAAGACTTGTGACACAAAAAACCACTTTAGCATTGCATGGTTCCAACAAAAACCATTGTGTGATTTTGGTTGTGCTGCCTGATACTGGCTCATCCCAAAAGATTCTCTGAGAGGAATCTTCAGGATAAGTATTAATAATACTACCATGATGCTCTTTCATTATGCTTAACATGTCATAATGCTCATGTTCAGATAGAATCGTTCCTCTATTGTCTGCTGTTATTTTTTTTTTCTAGGTGTGCTATTTTCTTTTCCTTTTCAAAAAGTGCCGTTCGAAGAATAGACACTTCTTGAATTAAGTGAGCTTTTGTTTTGAATCTGTTGTTAGTTTGTAAATGCTTTGGAGTTTCAAGCAGAGTAACTCTTTTGGCCATGTCTTGTAGTGTTTTATGGTATTTTGTGCAGGATGAGCATCTTTTAGACTGGTGCTGAATGATTGTACATTGTTGGTTTTGTACAGTTTCAATAGGGTATCTGTCAAAAAAAGCAACAACTTCACTTATAATGATAATTATTATTAGTAGCACATTACATGCATAATCTAACCTGGTACATTACATAGTTTACCACCTCTTTGTTTTGCAACATTAAGTACTTTGTTTAGCCATTGCCAGGACACATTCTCAGTGTTTCAATGTAGTGCATTAGCTTAATAATGTCTTGATGATTATGTATTGAGAATGAGTGAGGTAGATTAACATTACTGTGGTCATACATAGAAACGTTGTATGAAAGGTCTGGATATATAGATAAGCTATGTGAAATAGTTGGCTTGTCTAGCTGTTTAATATGGCAAAATGCAATCTCTTCCTCTTAACTAACTACTTCTGTCCATCCAGAAGGAAGAGGTGAACACTTAAAATAATTACGAAGAAGAGTGAAACTGGTTGTTGATACTTTAATGAGAGGAATAGTAACTATAAGATGAAGTGTCTCTTTCTTTTTGTACAGCTTATTGTATGTGCATTTCTTACGACTAGAGAATCTCTCCATCTATTAATGACAAAATAATTAAAAAGTTATTGTAGTCATGTTGTCACTAATGTTGTCAGTGTATTATGTACAGTATAGCAAGTATAGCATTTGGATCATTCAACTTAATCACTACTGTAGGTGTCCTAAATTTATTAATGTATTCATTGTACTAAGTACATGTATTGTGCACGCTATACAAAAAAAAGATGTTACACCTTTACTGCAGTTTGTGCATAACTCAGTAATCACTGACTTTCAGTAGTCAGTCAAAAACCCTAAATGAATTAAGTATTGAAAGCCTCACAGTCTGAGAATTAATGTATTTAATATATTGCTATCAATGATTTTGTAAGTAATGGTACTAGATAATTTATGATAATGCAGCCTTTAGTCAGGTATGCATGAATTAGTTAAATTTAGAAGGTATTGATTTTTTTATTTTATTGCTACTAAATGCAAGAAATGGGGGTTTACTTACTGTCATGTGCTTTGCAGAACTAAAACCACAAAAAGATCCTCTCAACCAGTCTCAACAGCCTATTTCTTTATTTCCATTGCAGCTGCAATAATTGCTGCACTTGCAAGGTAGCTGCGGGTTGCTAGGCTACACAATTTTACCGTATTAAACTATAATTTAAATTATGAGTAAATTTCATTATTATTTTAGACAAAATTGAGGCAATGCAAGCAATGGCTGCTTTTAATGCTCTTTAAGCCTGTTTACTTGTTCAGGTCCACTGTATCAACTTAAAAAGGAGCTTGTAATGGGGCTATGTATATATTCTTCCTTCACTCTAGGTATCTGTTGTTTGTTCCATTATTTGGCTCCTCAAAATTAGAATGTTGATGATGCATCACTTTATTTCTTGTCTCGAACAAAAATTTTTTTGAGGCACTTAAGTCTCATAAAACAACTGCTAATGGGTGGATGATCCGGGATAGGTTATAGACTTTCTGTAGATGGGGCTCTCTAGGCACTAAAACGTCCAGTTCTTAAGATATGCGTGTGGAAGCAAAACACAGCAAAGTTGCTTTATTTCTGTGTAAAACACCACACAAGTGACACACAGGACTGCTTCGAGTTGGAAAACCTGGAGGAATGCTTGTAGAATTGGTCTATATTGCTAATGAAGTATTTAGAAATGTGTTTGATATACAGATGTAGAAGTGAAAAATTAAAACTTCGGTGTTATTTCATGAAGATGTGATGATTTATGAAGTTGACACACTAGTTTATCACAGTTTAAGTTGAAGCACTATTCTAGAGCAACAATAACGCAACATAAAATCTTCAAAAAAGGCTTTTGTCTGGTAGAAACCGTAGAAAATATCAGCCCAGACAGCTATTTGCCTAATTTTTGGGCTGCATAAAAAAGGAAGGGAGCATCAGAATTATTCCATTGCTAGGCCACAATATAAACTTAATGGGAATAATAAAACCGCAATCGGAAGTTTCCTATCCCTGTAACTCTAATATCTATGCCTCAGAGCTCTGTTTGAATATTAGCAGGCGCATATCAGGGGATACCTGCAATCTTGACAATTTAAGGAATGTATTAGGTGATGAGCTTAAGGCCAGAGAACGGGCTGCTCCAGAAGTCTGATACTAGTCATAGTCATCGTAAGTCTAGAAAGACAAAAGGAGCACTCTACTGCAGCTTTATTTTGTGGTTATTGTAGCCAGCCACATTTGTCAGAAACAGCATGTAGGAAGGTTAGCAGTCAAGAAGCAAGAAGGCGCATTCTTCAAGAAGGCCGATCTTACATTTGCTTGAAAAGAGGGCAATTATGTCGCGTTTGTAGGCCCAATAAGAGGTGCAGTCAATGTGGTGGTCGACATCGTAATTATTAGCATTAAGTTTGCTTTAAAAGGGAAGATGCCATTATTCCTACTGGGAAGGAAGGGAATGAGAGCAAAGATTCTCTTACTCCTTAGGCATCATTTTTAAACCAAACTTAAATCGTAAAAACTAATTTAAACCAGACACTCCTAGTAAAACTAGACCATCAAACTGAGAACAGAAACAAAGATTAACAAGTCAGTAAAACATGAAACATTTCAAAATGATAAGAACTCAATGCGATCAGTCACTTCTGGTATTTTAGACTATAGTATGAAGCTGAGATAACAAAATACTAGAAATAAGTTGTATATAAAACATCATTTTAAAACAAATTTTAAATCATTGAAACTAAGTCTCATCAGTCACTTTTGGTATTAACAATACTATAAAACAGAAAAGAAACAAATCATGAATCATCATTTCAAGTGGAAAGTAACTCAACTGATCAAACCCTTTTGTAATTTAAATTATGCTATAAAATTTGAGAAATTAAGAAACAAATTCTAAAGAATAAGAAGCATAATAAAACCCAAGTGAAATGACAACACTTAATCTAATCAGTCACTTCTACTATAAACTTAATTTTAAAAGTGAGAAATGACAGAACAAATTGTGAGAAGTGAGTAGTACATGTATAAATACTTAAAAACTAATTTTGAAACTCAATAACTCAGTCTGGTCACTTCTGGTATTTTAAACTCTACTATGAAACTAAGAAAAGAAAGAAAGGAGTAGTTCATCATAACACATCACCCAAACTTAAATAATAAAAACTGATCGAAATGAGACACTCGTAGTAAAAACTACACTATGACACTAAGAAAATATGAAACAAAAACTAAGAAATCTTTTGTACATGAAACATAAATTAAAAACCAAACTTAATATGAAAAAAGTCTCTAGTCATTCCAAAGTAGTATAGGCTATACAACAAAATGAGTAGGTATGGCATTCATGATACAGAGGGCCGCAGGCCCTAGGTATGATAAAGCCATAGATACCAACAGAGTTGTATAAATAACTTCTACAATGTACTAAAATAAAAAACTAGTTTACTTAGAAACACTTAGCAACAGGATGCCCATTTTAAACTGGAGGTTATTAAGTAATTTCCCTGTCAATCTTATTAACTTCCCGGGCCACTTAGTAACCTACAACTGTTCAAGAAATTACTTGTCAACCTCCTATGGCCCAGGAAAATACTATACCTCCCAGTTGTAAATAAGTTATTAATGAACCTAAAATCAAGCAATCTGATTGGTAAATTGCAATTAGGCATGGTAGAAGTATATGTAACATATTTTAAAACAGATTTCAAATGTCAATAACTCAGTCTAATCAGTCTGACTACTTCTGGAATTTTAAATTATACTATAAAATTAGGGAAAGAGGAAACAAAATATAGAAAAAACATAAAAAAATATAATTTTAGAAAGCAACCTCGAATGATACGACTCCTTATACTTGTGGTAAATAATGAGGACTATGAAAGTGACAATGAAGTGGAACAACCACACAACTGGGAGGAGCTTAGTAAGTTGTTACATGTCTTGTACAAAGATATGTTCACTTTGTAGTAAAGGAAGGTTGATTGTGA